TATGTTTGATAATTATCGTATATATTACGTTAAGCATTTATCTGCCATGTTTAGCCTTAGCCCTAGCCTAGCTGTTTTCCCGGTTTCTGATCTTCGCCTGGTTTCCTGGATTTCTCCCTTAATCTTGCCCCTTCTGACTCTGTCTGCCCATCGTCGACCCACGCTAGCCCTAGGACTGTTCTTGTGTCTTGCCCACCATATACCTGTCTGCCTCTGTTTGACCCTGCCTGCTTCATGACCACGTCTCTGTCTTCTCCACAATAAAGCCTTGCAGATGGATCCGCACGTCTCACGTCTCGTCAGCTCTGTAACAGTAAGGTAGCGCTACTCTGTTTAAAAAATGTAAGCTCCTCCCCTCACTTCCGGTTCTGTGGCTGTGGTTCTGAAACTGCTGGTGCTGCGGGGCTGCAGCTGGATACTATTGACTGCAAAAAACAGCAAAAAAAAAACAAAAACCATATACTTCTGAATATGTTCGTCATAGACAACAGTTGCACAAGAAACTAAGACAGGAATGAAAGCATGTGACGTGCTAGAATCACAGGATTCCAATCCATTTTATAGTGATAACATTCAGCTTTAGTTAGTTCCAGGGAAGTGGGCAAATTTGTGCATTTTTAAATACCCTTTGCCTCCATCAAACTTAGTGGATGTTGGAATAAATATTCTTCTATCTTGTAGTCCTTCTAGCACTCTTCTTGAGTTGCAGCATGTAAAAATATTAGCAGGCAGGAAAAAAATAAGCCTATTTAATAATTTTAATAGCCCTCAAAGTAAATTTGATATTGAAATTAAATAAAGGGAAAGCTCACCAAAAAAATGAAAATTCTGTCATCATTTACTCAACCTCGTGTCGCTCCAAACTTTTATGAATTTCTTTTTTCTGCTGAACACAAGATATTCTGAAGAATGTGAGTGACCAAACCATTGACGGTAGCAACTGAGTTTCATAGTATTTTTTTTCTCCCATGGCAACGGTTTCATCAACTATGAGTAAATGATGACAGAATTTTCATTTTTGGGTAAGCTATCCTTTGTGTTGTGTTACTAACATAATTTGCACGTATCTGTTCTCCATGCAGGCAAACACACTGATTTTGTTAAGTTTCTGAATATGTCTGCACTTTTCTCATTTGCATTGCATTCATATTTATTCAGTTAGCAGGCTATATTCAAAGTGACTTAGTTAGCAACATTGTAACATAGCAAGCAATTTCATATAAGAACCAACAATATTTACAGTTCGCACTTTGCAATGCCAAGTTTCAAGTTAAAGCTAGAACACAAGCAAGTGATATCCTCTAAAAGCGAACTCACTTTTATCAGAGAGTTGTTCTGAATGGGTAAAGTCTCTGTGATAACAAGAGATCCTCTGAAGAATGCTGATAGCAGCATGTCACATAACGCTTAAAATACTTTCACATTAATATTAACTGATGTTAACCAGAGTAAGATGCGGTAAGATGAGCCCCCACCTTAAGTTTTTTTTTCTCTCTCTCTTGAGAAGGCATGAAATCTCATATCAACACTTTTGATGAATGGCTATGCTATTTTTGCATTTTTATTTTTTTCATTTGGTCATTTTACCTAAATATCAACATTTGTGAGATTTAGTCAGCTGAAACCGTTTTGAGGTTAATTGATCTAACTGGAAAATAGTGCTCTATGAAACTGTATTATGTTGAATATGAAAAGTTGTTCGCCAGAACTGGGACAGAAGGCCCCGAGTGCCATGTTGCTATTAGTATTATTATTATTTTATTGTATGGGGTTATTATTCACTTTTTCAATAAATTAGATTTAAGACATGAAAATCTATAGATTTATTGAGTGAAATCATTTAATAAATTTGCATTCATAGTGTTGCTATTATGACATATCTTCAATTAAAATATGTGCAGTTCAATATGTAAATATTAATATGCCTGTACATAAGTCATAGAATCAATTTACCCTTAGATGAATCTCTTTTACGCGGATTCTCCTTTGTCTTTCATCGGATATTCAGTTATTGAACTAAATCGTCAAAATACAAATAAGCAAATGTTTCCGTTTATTTCCCTTATAATATATTGCATCATCACCCTGCACATGCTAAACACATATCTACATTTAAAAGTAAGGGTGCATTGTTCTAAAATAGATATTTACCCAATGAAAATTCTGTCATCATTTACTCACCATTATGTTGTTCCAAACCTGCATGAGTTTCTTTCTTCTGCTGAACATAAAAGACGATATTTGGAATAATGTTGGTAACCAAACAGTGTGCAGTAGCAATTGACATCCATAGTATGGAAGAAAAAAAAACTATGGAAGGCTACCGGCAACTGTTTGGCTACCATTCTTACAAATATCTTCTTTTGTGTTCAGCAAATCATTTCAGAATTCTGATGCTTCCATAAGCTTAAAAAACTGTGTAATGAACCAAAAAGTTATTTTTGTGTGTGTCTGTATACTCAGTGTATGAGTGCATATATGCCTGGTATGTGGGAATGTGTGTGTTTGCATTCATACCTTTTCTTTCCAATGGATCCTCTGTTTTTTCCCCCTCCCGGGGCACAGTACTGTCACAAAGGTGCTAATGACGTGTCATCGCAGCTGCGTTCCTCTCCCTTCACAGTCCGCAAACACCTGAGGCCGTCTTTTTGTTTGATGTGGAAACATCTACCATTTATTCTGCCAGTTTGGGGAAATATTTCAAGGTGTTCGGCCAGTTTTCATTCTTTAGAGGTATAGTGCTACTGAGAAGAATTTTTGATACAAAGCCCAAATGATGCCACAGAGATCCACCTGAAAGAGAAGGAGCTATGATAGATTATGCACAGATGCTGAGGAACTGTTTCATGGCTGGTGAAGAGAAAATGTGTTAAATTAATAAACAGTTAAATCCTACATGTACAATACAAATAAAAACTAATTTCATATCTTTACATTTGTGCACATTGTATATTTGTCTGCCTGATCCTGTATGACTATTCACTTAAAGTTCTTAATACCTCTTTCCTGTCTAATGTGCCATACATTTTTAACACATCTGCATTTTTGATTTTCAAAAATTTATTTTTCTTTAAAGAATTTCTATGACTACATAACTCTAGTATGTAACAACAAGGTTGCTAAAACGCCAGTGCTGGCTGGCACTTTATGTAATCTGGATTATGTAATCAAATTAAGTACTTTTTTTTTTTACTACAGTTACTTTTTTATTTAGTACATATTATTTACACAATAGCAATACATTATTCATAATTGATTGATTCTCCCTAATTCTTCTTTTTCATCTTTTGAATTTACCTTTCAAAAATAGGCATAAATTCATAAAATCAGGTGGCTATAATTACACAGAAAATTGAGAGGCCATACAGAATTTGACCACTGGATTTACATGAACCATTTCAAGAGGTTTTTTTTTCAACATTTCAACATTGCATCCTCTAGCTTATTGATGAACCCGTTAATTTTTATTTGAATGATCATTCAGTGGTTACGATATGTTTAATGCAGTTCATGTTGTTAATTACAACGAATGGAATATATATAATAATATATAATATATCTTTCTCTTTGTATTTTTATCAATATGCTAAAAGATTACCCTATTTAAATCAATGTGGTAAATGAGTAAGGGCAAAAGTAATCTAAAAGTAATAAAAAAAATAGTCTGATTATATTACCTAAACTGTGTAATGTAATGGATTACGTTACCAACTACAACTTGTGTCATGTGATTTGGAATCAGTAACAAACTACAATATGCAAACAATCTACCCGAACCAATCCATATCCACACAATACACATGTATTATTTCCTGAACGGCTTGCCATACTGGACACTGCTAAGAGTGGCATGAAAAGTGACCAATTAACATGCTGTTTGCTTTCTGGTGACCACTAAAAACATAGATGACTTAAAGGGATAGTTCACCCAAAAATGAAAATTCTGTCATCATTTACTCACCCTCATGTCGTTTCACACCTGTATGAGTATGTTGAACATAAAAGAAGATATTTTGAAGATTTCTTGGTAATCAAACAGTTGGTAGTTGCCATTGATTTCCATAGTAGGAAAAAAAAATACTACGGAAGTCAATGGCAACCACCAGCTGTTTGATTACCACTTACCAGCAATCTTCAAAATATCTTCTTTTGTGTTCAACATAAGAAAGCAACTCATACAGGTTTGGAACGACATGAGGGTGAGTAAATGATGACAGAATTTTCATTTTTGGGTGAACTATCCCTTTAAGTCCAACAAAAATCTCAGCGATTAGCTACCATTGCAAGAATGATTGAATATTATCATCAAATCTTCTGCTTTGTAGTTTCTATACTGTTTACACATTTAACCCTATTGGTAACATTTGTAACAGAAGTTTGAGGTGTTGCTTTTGGGTAACATTGACTTTCCTATCGTTTGCAATGAGCCAAGAATAAATCACATGGGGTGATTTATATGTTTTAAAAACATTTTAGACTATAAAAGAAGATACGTGACATGTTCTCTCTAATTTAGATTTAGAAGCATGATTCTGAAAGTGTTACCCAAATGCTACATAGCCTCCTCTATCAGTTCGTGTGTTTTGTACCTAAATACACTGCCTACGGGCTGGCTCTGAAGCTTTGTGACCACGCCCACCGACGAAACCCCGCCCCCTCCGCTTGCGTATCTACTGTTAACGGAACAGTAGTGTTTAATGTTTACAAGCGTTCAGCTTGACTGCACTATCTGATCTGGACGCTTCATCCTCGAAAAAATATACAGCGAAAGGCGTGGACGCACTGTGAAATAGCTAAAGGTAATGTCCGGAACTAAAGCTTTTTGTTGTCATTTTCGAAAGCGTATTAATCGACTTCCCAGTATTACAGTAATAAAAGGAAGAGCTGAACCCGTTTCATCTCATTTCTTCTTCTGAGATTCCAGCCTGTTATAAACGTGTAATTGCAACTGCGCAAGGCAATGAGACACTAAGAATCTTAACTATTATATAATCGTATTCGGGAGGGAGTTATATCGTGTTTCTGCATGCACGCACTGAATGACTATGAGTCTCATATATATTCCGCTATGTGTGCGTTGCATAACTTCTGAAATAAAGGCTGTCACGTGACTACCCTTTTTCCTAACTTCTATCTATTTTTTTATTTTAATAGTAGCTATTTGATCATTTAATTACTTAATTAGTAACTATTATTTATATGTATTTTTAGATACTAGTATTTAGTATACTATAGAATGTATTTCAGCTAACTACTAGAATAATAATAATATAACAATATATTGTGATTATTTTAAAATTAATAATAAAAACAAGTATTATTATATAAATGAATTATTTTGATCATTTATTACACTGTAGAAAAAATGTTACCCACTAAACTAAAAATAAAAAAATGTTTTTTTTCCTGTAAATAAATCTGTCAAAGTTACAACCTGCTGCAATAAGCTCATTGCACTTTTCCAACCACTTTGAATTTAATTGCTCATAATAAAAAAAAAACTGAGTTGACACTCTGAAAGCTCATAAAACTGAGTATAAATAACAATTCTATTGTTAAATCAATAGAAACAGAGATGGGGTTATGGCATGATGTTGAAAACATTTTTAAAGTGCAGAGACAGCCGTGTCATAATGCAAAGTCATGAGCTGTCATATGATTTCTGATATTGTGAAACAGTTTTGAAAAGATTTGTTTGCTCCATCATTCACTTTTTAAAGGGGTCATATGATGCTGCTGAAAAGAACATTATTTTGTGTATTTGGTGTAATGAAATGTGTTTATGCGGTTTAAGGTTTAAAAAAAACATTATTTTCCACATACTGTACATTATTGTTTCTCCTCTATGCCCGCCTTTCTGAAACGTGTTGATTTTTACAAAGCTCATCGGTCTGAAAAGCGAGGTGTGCTGTGATTGGCCAGCTATCCAGTGCGTTGTGATTGGCCGAATACCTCAAGCATGTGACGGAAATGTTCCGCCCCTCACCATACTGTGATGATGCCCTGTCCAGCCGGAGCGACGAGACAAAAACATGAAAACCCATTATAAACAAGGCATTTGTTGCATCCAGTGGGGACATAATTACGGATTATAATGACTTATACTGTCTTTTTAGGCGTTGCGTTGCATTGCGCAACGTAAACATAAAACCATGTCTGCATTTGTGATCGGAGAAATGACAAACAACAAGCCCTACTCTACACTGCCCAAAACTCGCGTTTGAATCGTCAGTGGCAAATTCTTTAAATATGAAAAACGTACTTTGAGCCAGAACAGCCGACATTGTAGTCTACTCTACCAGGATCAGTAAACAGTCCTCCATAAAATGCGCTGCACACATCTGAATATTTGGGTTGAAGTGTTCTGGAACAGTGTTGTAAATACAACTTAACCACTGATGTATAGTCCTGTCCTCTTTTGGAGGGCCAAACAAAGTAGTTTCGCTTTCACAACGAAACAGCGTCACACACCGCGGCCTTGAGTGAGCTGAGGCCGGCTTGAGTGAGCTGAGTCCGGCTTGAGTGAGCAGAGGCGGTGGGCTTGAGAGCGGCGCGGCCAGCGGATTCGATGAAGCGTGACGTAGACATGTGGGGGCGTGTTAGAACGAGCCGTTTTAGGTAGGCGTGGTTGACTCTTAACTTTTATAAAGAATATCTCTTTGGATTTGAGACTTTAGTCTTTGCAACTTTACGGATCTTCTTTATGCACCAAGAGCTTGTAACACTCCAAAGAGAAAGGAAAAATTGAAATCGCATCATATGACCCCTTTAAGGGCTCAGATGTCAATCCATTATAGATCTTATACTTGGCCAAGAGCACTTATGATATATGAGATCATTGCGTGATGTTTACCTAAATGTGACAGAAGTGTAACCGGAGTGAAATGAACGACTTCCCCTTTCACAGTATGTCTCGAGAGCAGAAAGCAGTGGATCGTGCCAGGAAGGCCTTCCTCACCGGCCGGAGCAAATCACTGGAGTACCGCGTTACCCAGCTAAAAAACCTGCTGCGTTTTGTCAGAGAACGACAGACGGAAATTTCAGAGGGTCTCAAAAAGGATCTCAGAAGGGTTGGTGACACATCAACTTGTGTATTGTTCAGTTCTATATTATTATATAATAATATCAGTTCAGTTATTGTTTGCTTATGTAACTGATCTGGGCTTTATATATCTGGTGACAGAGTGAGTGTGGAACTCCTTTGTATGAGACTCTGGGTCTGGAAAGTGAGATTGACCTGGCTGTGAGAAATCTGAAACAATGGGCTGCTCCTCGACCTGTGAGCAAGAGCATGATGACCATCTCAGACCAGGTCTACATCCAGCCTGAGCCTCTGGGAGTAGTGCTGGTCATTGGGGCCTGGAATTACCCCTGGGCAGTCACCATCGGGCCCCTCATAGGAGCTATAGCAGCAGGTAATGGAGGTCTGTTGCAGGCCATCTTAATCAATTTATATGAAATGTGCAAAATATTATGACTAGAGCTTACCTGAAGTCTTTATGTAGCCTATAAATATATCTTGAGGCCTTGTATGGTCTTAAAGTCTGATACCACTGGTTTGGCATTTTTCTGATTTAATGTTTTTTATATTATCAGTTTAATGACCATTTTGCTTCAATAACAGCAACACTCAAGCTACATTAACCTGATCATCATCTTATTCAAAACTAATAAAATGTGCTTATTTATTCAGTGACCAAAATAGTCAAGAATTTTAAATATTTCCTAATTATTTACACCACAACTTTTTAAAGTGCCAAAAAAAAAAAAACCTGTATATTTCCAGGTTTGAATTACTTTTTGATTCCCAGATTTTCATTTTAGTCATAGGCTTCTGAACCTTAGTATATGTTCTGGAACATTTTCCACCAGCTTCAAAACATTATATATGAGACCATCATTTTTATGGTGTGAAAAAAAAATCTATTTAGGTAACATGAATAAAAAGCATATTTAAGGATTTCTGTGTTACTGAAATACAACGTTAACAATTAAAATTTTTAATTTCAACTAGTTGCCAAGACAACATTTCTTATTTTCATTTCTTTAACTTAATGTAGTAAAATAACTTTTTTGAAATTGAAATTCACAGCTATATAGACATATTTAAAAAGAAAACAATAAAAATGACAAAACACTACAAAATTACTAAAATGTTACCTAAAATTACAATGAAAACACAAAATATAAAAAGAATAATAAAAAAATAATAAAAAATATTAATATGAACTATTATAATATCTCAGTGATACTAAAATAACACTGCACTGTACTTTGTCCTACTTATGTGTAACTGCCTTGTGCTAACAGACCAAAGTACAAAACTGTTCCTTTACTTCAGTCCCTTTTAACAACGTTAATTTGTGATAAGTTCAGAAGGCATGTAAATGACTAATAAGGCAAACAAACAATTTTATTTGCAAATCCTGCTTTTTTAAAAAGTTGTTTACTAAGTAAAATGTCAGGTTTTGTATATTTCATATATATATATGTTGCTCATATATTTGCAAGTGTAGAAAATGAATGTATTCACTACCAGAGTTTAAACTATTTTTTTATTTGAGCTACACTATTATTACAGAACTAGGGTTTTACTAGTAAGTTTACTTGTAAAGATGTAGAACAATTGTCTTAATGTAATATACTTGATAAGAATATTGTCATACAAGTAATGCTGTGTTGGCAGGCAATGCAGCTGTAATAAAGCCCTCTGAAGTCAGTTCTCACACTTGCAAAGTAATGGAGGATCTCTTACCACTTTACCTGGACAAAGTAAGATTACATTTTTTTCACAACTTTCTGAATAAACACAAAAAGGCTTTTCGCACTGTGCTTAACCCTGGGTTATTGTCGTTCTAAACCTCGTTTTTTTAACCCCGGTTAAAGATACATTTCACACTTGTAATTTAGAAGCGTGGTGCGCCACTTTTTTTTTCTTTGCTCCGGAGCAGGGTTAGCAGTGTTTTTGCAGTGTTAACCCCACATTACATTTTTACAGTGTGAAACGATGTGGTGTTAGAATGTTACAACAGACTGTGTCATATATTCATGTGCTTTGGCCAGTCACGGAAACACTGCACATTGCATAAACAGTGAAAAAGTGCCAAATGGTAATGGAAAACACATGAATTGGAGTGAAGAAAGACCATGCTATTCTTATCTTATTCAGCAATATATTATGTGAGGATGCGCCATGCTAGAGCCGTTATGTAAACAGGTTGTGTGCTGCGTTCATTCAGTCAGTGACACTGACACTAAAAATATGCAAATAAGAAAATTAACCCGGGGTTTAGGAATGTACAGTGTGGAACGACAGCTTATGAATACCCAAGATTACTTGTTAAGATGAGATAACCCAGGACTCCGTTTATCCGAGGTTTTGAACGACCCAGGGTTAACAATTTCAAGTGTGAAAAGCCCTAATATGGTTTATAAATTAAAGGGGTAATGAACTGCATTTTTTTAAATTATTTTATAATATTCTCTGAGGCCTACTTATAATGCTAGCAAGATTTTTACATCAAAAAAACATCGTAATTTAAAAGTAATAGGCTTTTTTCTATTCTGTTTTTGAGCCTCTCTGCAGAACGGTCTGTTTTAATAGACTCGGAAGTAATCCAAGACTCGGAAGTAAACGCCCACTGCTATGATTGGCTTGCATCTATTATTTTAATATGCAGTTTTGCATATTAAAATAATAGATGGACACTGCTGTGACATACTTTGAAAACAACATGAGTCATTTGGGTTAAAAATGTATAAATACTACTCGGTATATATCAAACAGTCTGGAACAGACAATGCAATAGTGGTAAAAACAGGTTTACTCACACTTGGATCCAATATAGTCAAGCTCAGCACTGCATCATTTTTAACTTTCAGTCTCTCTGAAAACCCTGCATCGAACTGTCTTGTTTAAAAATGAATCCACAGTAAAGTAAAGCAAGCAAACAAACAGTGATTTGCAAACAGGCGATCTGGAGCTCTTTCCCAATGTTACCCCGTGTTTACACCAGACGTGAGCACCGCAACGCGATTATAGTCAACAGAACGCATTATAATCGGGTGTCTACACTGAATGTGGTATGGATTGACACAACAAATCTCCCGACAGTAAACTGATACTTCAAGAGCTCACGCTGCTTCTGACCTGAAAGAGAAATGCAGGCATCTCTATGGTTTTGTTGATGGAGTATAATCTCCATCCTATGTTTCTCTCCTCATACTACATGCATGAATCAGTGGGCGGAGCTAAAGAGGCAATAATCAAGCCAAGTCAAGTCGTAATGGAGGTCTGTTGCAGGCCATCTTAATCAATTTATATGAAATGTGCAAAATATTATGACTAGAGCTTACCTGAAGTCTTTATGTAGCCTATAAATATATCTTGAGGCCTTGTATGGTCTTAAAGTCTGATACCACTGGTTTGGCATTTTTCTGATTTAATGTTTTTTATATTATCAGTTTAATGACCATTTTGCTTCAATAACAGCAACACTCAAGCTACATTAACCTGATCATCATCTTATTCAAAACTAATAAAATGTGCTTATTTATTCAGTGACCAAAATAGTCAAGAATTTTAAATATTTCCTAATTATTTACACCACAACTTTTTAAAGTGCCAAAAAAAAAAAACCCTGTATATTTCCAGGTTTGAATTACTTTTTGATTCCCAGATTTTCATTTTAGTCATAGGCTTCTGAACCTTAGTATATGTTCTGGAACATTTTCCACCAGCTTCAAAACATTATATATGAGACATTTGTCTGAGACATCAGTTTTTATGGTGTGAAAAAAAAATCTATTTAGGTAACATGAATAAAAAGCACATTTAAGGATTTCTGTGTTACTGAAATACAACGTTAACAATTACAATTTTTAATTTCAACATTTCAACATTTCTTATTTTCATTTCTTTAACTGATACTTCAAGAGCTCACGCTGCTTCTGACCTGAAAGAGAAATGCAGGCATCTCTATGGTTTTGTTGATGGAGTATAATCTCCATCCTATGTTTCTCTCCTCATACTACATGCATGAATCAGTGGGCGGAGCTAAAGAGGCAATAATCAAGCCAAGTCAAGTCGTCTTTATTTATATAGCGCTTTTAACAATACCGATTGTGTCAAAGCAACTGTACAGCATTAATTAGGAAAATAGTGTGTCAATACTGCAAAACGACATTCAGTGATGTCATCATCAAGCTCAGTTCAGTTTAAATAGTGTCTGTGCAATCAAGTCGACGATATTGCTGGAAATTAAGTGTCCCCAACTAAGCAAGCCAGAGGCGACAGTGGCAAGGAACCAAGACTCCATCAGTGACAGAATGGAAACCTTGGGAGAAACCAGGCTCGGTCGGGGGGCCAGTTTGCCTCTGGCAGACGAAACCAGCAGTTCAATTCCAGGCTGCAGCAAAGTCACATTGTGCAGAGGACTCAAATGGTTCCTGTGGTCTTGTCCCGGTGGCCGTCTAGGAGACAAGGTCTTCACTGGGGTTCTGTCTCTGGGGCTCATCTAGTTGTCCTGATCTCCGCTGACATGATTAATAATGTAGAAGCAGGCATTGATCTTCTTCTTCTGTCCTCATAGTGTGACAAATTCCAAAACGAGTTGTTTTCTGAGCTTGGTTTCAATAAAAGCTGTTTTGAGTTCTGAAACTTACCGGATGTTTTTATAGTACATTGACCTGTTATATGTCAAAAGATCACGGGAAATATGATTTCTCAGTTCATGACCCCTTTAAATAAAAAGAAATAATAGTTTGGGTAACCCTAACTAAATATTTTAATTCATGATGTTGATCTCAGGAGTTGTATCCTGTTGTCACCGGTGGGGTGACAGAGACCCAAGAGTTGCTCAAGCACCGGTTTGATCACATCTTCTACACTGGAAACGGCACAGTGGCTAAAATCATCATGGAGGCCGCTGCTAAACACTTAACCCCTACCACTCTGGAACTGGGCGGAAAGAGCCCGTGCTACATCGACAAGAACTGTGACCTTTCCATTGCCTGCCGGTCAGTCGATTCAGAATGAATCCTTCGTTTGTACGCACTGAAGCTGTAAAATGATTTTGAATACATGTTCTCTGTGACGTTACAGGCGTATTGCATGGGGGAAGTATTCAAACTGTGGTCAGACCTGCATTGCTCCGGACTACATACTGTGTGACCCCAGTATGCAAGACAGAGTGATTGAAGAGATCAAGAAGAATATTAAAGTACGTATGTGAATGACAGTCTGGGACTGGTAACAAATATAAAATGTCTAATGGGCTAATACACACTTCCTTTTGTGATGATCAGGAATTCTATACCGAAGACCCCAAAAAATGTCTGGATTACGGACGCATCATCAATCAGCGCCACTTCAAGAGACTGATGGCATTGTTGGAGGGCAGCACTATTGCTGTGGGGGGTGAAAACGAGGAGTCTGAGTGCTATATTGGTATAATTTAGCTGCATAAGTCACTACAAGCATTTTATTTGCAGTTGCAGCAATTCAGAAGATAATTAAACGGATTTATTGTTTAATCACATTTATAACTCTCAATTTTATTTCATATGCATTTCTACACAGGTCCAACAGTTTTAAGGGACGTGAACCCGGATGCCAAGGTGATGCAGGAGGAGATCTTCGGGCCTCTGTTGCCCATCCTGACAGTTAGCAGTGCAGATGAAGCCATCAAATTCATCAACCAGAGAGAGAAACCCCTTGCCTTGTACATCTTTTCTTCAGACAACAAGGTTTAAACTGATTATTTGTTCACAATATAAAAAAGATGAAGTTTTACTTAAAACAATTGTACAAAACTGTCCTTTCATTATAGTTGATCAAGCGTTTGATTGCGGAGACCTCTAGTGGTGGAGTGTTGGCCAATGACTGTTTGATGCATTTCTCAGTAACCTCTTTGCCTTTTGGTGGAGTTGGTGAGTTCTTTTAATGAAACTTGTTTTCTTTTAATAAATAGCACAGTAATTTTGACCTCTGAGAGAAGCTGCAGAAGCATACATGTCATGCTGTGTTATGTGGACTGTAGCTCAGCTCTTCGGCTTCCTCTGCAGGTAACAGTGGGATGGGCCATTATCACGGCAAGTACGGCTTTGATAACTTGAGCCACTTGCGCGGCTGTCTAATCAAACAGTTGAAGATGGAGGGGGTGAATAAGATGCGTTACCCACCACATACAGCAGATAAGCTGGGCTGGGCACGCTTTTTCATCCTCAAACATGTCGACTTCGGCAGCCTGGGCCGCATGGCGCTGCTGGCTCTGATGGCCGTCTTTGTTGCAGTGATTTTACAGGTAACAGATTATTATACCCATGTGAAACATTTTATTTTAAATACATGACAGATTTTCATTTTAGATATGTGAAATTATTGAGTATTTCATTCATTTGTTTTGAGCAAAATAGAGAAGTTCTTATAAAAATAGAATATGTGTATATAGACATTTATGTAATATTTGAAAATACAATGTAGATATTAATATAATATTTATACTTAATATAAATTATATTATTATACATATAAAATGTATTGACAATATTAACTTTAAAAAAAAAATAAAAACAGAAATTCTAGTACGATTGAAAATACCAATGTTTAATTAATCAAATGTTTTAATAATATAATAATAATCAGAATAGGCTATTCTTCCTCCAAGTATATATTATTCCTTCAATATAATTTATTTTAATGAGAACATAAACATAAACATTGATGAATTAAAT